CCGTTCATGTTCACCAATACAGCAGCATTACTAAGATGAGAGAACTTACCCGAGTACTAAGACACACTGATAAGATGCACCTGTTGATTGAGATTACTTCAAGGGTTTATTCATTGACCTCAACTTTATTTAGTTCCTTAACTTGAGGGGTAACAATCTGCACAGTGTTTTTTTTTCTTTTCTGGGGATTCACATGAAATAAAATTGGAAATAAATGAGATAATCATTTTGCATAAACCATTTAAGTAAACTCAGTTAAGACAGTTTAGTACTTGTTGTGGAAACAAAAATAAGTACTCAGTCTTTGTACCATATAAAAAAAAACTTAAATTAGCCAAATACAGTTTTACAGTTTTTACAATTACAGTGAATACCGTAGATCAAAATGGACGCTCACAGACTGGGAAATGGTATCAAAGTACAGAAGGTAGCAATATCAACCAAAACGATTAAAAAAATAATTCATAAAAATAACAAATACATACAATAATAAATATATTTCTTCGTTCTGAGCAAAGCACATCATAATTATTCCACCAATGCGAATATCGCTTTACAGGCGCTGGATAAAAGCTTTCTTCGATTTTTAAGTACTCATCAAAAATTCCAAGACAACAATACTAACTGCAGATACAAAGACGCCAGCACTTATCAGGTTTGCCCAGACAAAGAGATTACTAAATGAGCATTTGTCATAAATACAGAGATTATTCATCAACATAGTCATCAAAGGTACTAAGGAATGAGCATGTGATCTCGAAGTTACTAAGATTAGTCTACTCTCATCATAAATACTAAGATCAGGTTACCCATGAGAGAAACTGATATAAAATACTCTGAATCAAAAGAAGGAATACCCATATAAACAGTACGATATGCGAGCGTTTGGGAGCTCGGTTGGAATACAAAGATATCGGTGACTGATGGCGTGACGTGTTTTAAATGCATAGACACATGGAGTCATTCTGCGACAAACTCCATTACTAAGATAACACTGGAACTGTAAACAGAACAAATACGCCGCTCTCTTTCTCATGACATCTTCATTGTGCTTTTGAATCGCCCTCAAGGGCGACAGCAGCCTATTGTGTTTGTAATAGGTAAAAATGTCGAAACCCTCACCTCACGTGGTCTGATATGAACTCACAGCTAAAATGGATCATTGTTACTAAGATGCAGTCAGATAAACTTGAACTCTTGGTAAGAGTTTTTTTTTTAACATCCTGAGCACTCTCGGACCATATGGTGTTTGGGTTTTACTAACATATTTCCAAATTTGCTGGGATGCAAAATTAATTAATTCATCTATTTTTAACCAGGTGAAAATAAAATAATGTTACAGACTTCCAAAGTGCACCATAGTTCGACAGATTATAAAGTACAATATTTAAAGGATTGTAGTATACTTAAGATTTCAATAAGTGCATTGATGCCTTTCATTAAAGGGGTCATATGATGAGATTTCAAGTTTTCCTTTCTCTTTGGAGTGTTACAAGGTGTTCGTGAATAGATAAGATCCCTAAAGTTGCAAAGACTAAAGTCTCAAACCCAAAGAGATATTCTTTATAAAAGTTAAGACTCGTCTATGCCCTCCTAAAACGCCTCGTTCAAACACGCCCCCACATGTCTACGTCACGATGTGGGAAGATTTGCATAACGCCACCCAAATGTTCACGCAAAGAAAGCAGGCATAACTTTATTGTTGCTGCCACCATGTTGTGAAGACGCTGTGTGTATAATTGCGAAAGCGAAAATACTTTGTTTGGTCTTCCAAAAGAGGACACGACTAGAAATCAGTGGTTAAGTTGTATTTACAACACTGTTCCAGAACAGTTCAACCCAAATATTCAGATGTGTGCAGCACATTTTATGGAGGACTGTTTCCTGATCCTGGGAGAGTAGACTACAATGCCGGCTGTTCTGACTCACAGACTGTAAGTACGTTTTCATATTTAAAGAATTTACCACTGATGATTCAAACGCGAGTTTTGAGCAGTGTAGAGTAGCGCTTGTTGTTTGTCATTTCTCCGATCACAAATGCAGACATGGTTTTATGTTTACACGGTGCGATGCAACGCGTAAAAAGACAGTATAAGTCATTATAATCCATAATTATGTCCCCACTGGATGCAACAAATGCCTCATTTTTATAATGGGTTTTAATGTTTTTGTCTCATTGCTCCGGAACACGGAATCACAATATGGTAAGGGGCGTAACATTTCCGTCACACGCTTGAGGTATTCGGCCAATCACAACGCACTGGATAGCTGACCAATCAGAGCACACCTCGCTTTTCAGAACAATGAGCTTTGTAAAAATCGATGCGTTTCAGAAAGGCAGGGCATAGAGGAGCAACAATAATGTACAGTATGTGGAAAATAATGTGTTTTTTAACGTTAAACTGCATAAACACAATTCATTATACCAAATACAGAAAATAATGTTCTCGTTAGCAACATCATATGACCCCTTTAAGCATTATTACTCACTGCGATCAGAATTGAAGGAGTCAAAAACTCTTCACAATAAATCACAAAAATGTTACTGCTATGGTGTTCATAATTTGAAGTAATTCAAATTTGATGCTGAACTGGAAGACCCACTGATTAATGTGAATTGTCATCCCATGTCTATGACTTGTTTATTTGCAAACTCTCTGCATTGTTTTAGCACCCGGGACACTAAAGGAATTACATAAATCAGGCCATGATGCAAAAACAGCCACAAAATTAGTGCTGAATACAATTTTCTCAATGCAATTCCTGATCATGAGTGTTAGACGTGTGGTTAAACTGAATTGCGGGTGCTTATAGCGAGGGATTTTTTGTTGAAATGTTCTGAGTAACTGTTTAGTGAATTCACCCGTCAATTTTTCTTTTTTGGCAGATTCTAGTTATTACATTTTTGAGGCTTAAACAGTTCACATACTGTACATACAAACAATCTACACACAGTTTAAAGTCTATTGTTTGACAATGAATACTGTACATCTGTAGCGGAATCTTCGAAGTCACAAAAATATTTGAGCAATTTCCTTCCCAGAATAATGAAAAAGTAGGCTACTTTACTTTACTTTACTTTACTTTACTTTATAACACTTTATTGTCAGACAGTATTTTGCATTTTTCTTGCATGACAGTATCTGTGTACTTAAAAGATACTTAAAAGATATCTGAGATGAGTGCAGGTTGTGGAGATGAATTTTTAAATATAAATTAAATGAGAAGAAAAAAACATCAAAAGTCTGTAAATTGTTAGACAAAAGTTCTACATTTTGCTGAACCGTTTCATTATTACCTCATCCAACTCTTCAATCAATGAAGGTTTATTGAAACCTGCCAACTGACAATGCCACTAACCGGTTGGAACGGGTAATTTCAGCAGATGGCTATATAAATGTTGGTGGCTGAATGAATGCAACAACGATTTAAAACGGGGCATGCATGCTCAAAGATGTCTGTTTACATCGAAAAAATATATATTCAAAAGCAGTGCAGTGGAACGCAAAGCGCGTTCTGTGTGAAATAGTAATCGAGCATGGCATATGCCCATTGCTTGAATCATGGACAGACGGACTACTAGTAGCCTACTGGGTAAGCAAGGTAAAACTTACATTATATGCGAAGTGAAACTTTTAAATTATCAGATGCTTTGTGCAACAGCTATAAAAACATAATTTAGTAACTGATATGACAGAGATGGAAACTTTCCTCAGACTACGCAGTTTTGACTTTCTAACTAAATATAAATGAGTATATCAGTATGAACTGATAAAAGCTATCATATGTATTTCATTAAGAATTAGGTCCTTCTTTACTATTGTGGTTTGATTGACTGGCTCCTTCAAGTGTGTATGTATAAATGTCTTTTGACACAGAGTGACATGCTGGTATATTAAAGTAGGTATATTAATAAAGATTATTTTATATTTTGTTCTATAACTATTTTATATCAGACTGTTAAGAAATTAAAGATGCTGACAAATAGTCAATTTGTGTCACATAAATATGAAGCCCTACGCTCATTATTTTTTATGTTATTAAAAGATGTTGATTATTTGAACCCTGTTAATGGATTCAATGCGAAACTTTTGCTCAGTTGAGTAAAAGTTTTAATGTAAGTATGCCGTAACGTGCAACATGTGCAGATGCGTTCTGCTGGTGCACAGACATAGGGAGCGTGTGATGTTTTGTTTTTTAACCTATGGAGAATATAAGAACATGTTCTTGCAGCATTTCGGCATATTCCCATAGGACGGCATCCACAGACCTAGTAGAGGAATGTTGTGGGAAGGTTATCGGAAGATTTCCACAGTGTTCGCATGAATGCAGCTGTGGGAGTTGCTCAAATTGAGTTTGCATAGCAATAGGGGAGTTTTACAAGAACGTTGCTGCAGTGTTTTGGGAAACGTTTGGATAACCTCTGCTGCAAACCTAAGGGAGCCCTAGTTTTACACTTTCTCTGTTGAGTTTAAAATTAATTGGTTGCATAGCACAAGGGAAGGCTGTAGTGTACTTACAGTGCCAAAAGTGCTATTGGAGCGCTGGGAAAATGTATGTCAAGATGCTGAGAGGTCACAAATGTGTGAGCATTTGGGGAGCATTTCTTTAATGTTGTTATATCATTAGGGAAGCACTTGTGAAATCTGAGAGATCTGTTAGGTGAGAATTTATGGGTGGTTGGAGGAAACAGCCTCCAACTAACAGTGAGAAAAATAAGTTATTTTCTAGGGGCTTGGAGAAGATGAAAATGTTCTGCAGTCTTTGTCTTCCTCGAGTTTGCACCTTTTGTCTGGTAAAGACTTATTGCACTGTTCTCAATCATTAGCATGCATTCATTGAATGTGATTGTAATACTTGTGTGAGATGTAATTAATTTTCCTAATACTGAGGATTATTATAATTGTATGGTTTCCAACAAATGAGGTATTGTTTTTTTTTGCAGAGGGTGGTATCTAAAGTGAGACATAAAAATGTTATTTTCAAGACATTAATGGATGCGATTTAAAACCTTTTTGCAGCATTCGCTCTTTGATATCTGTGAACAATTGAATGTATTGTGGGTAACTTATATTGTGTTCGCTTTGGGCTGATCATCGTTATTGTTGTTGCCAGGTGACTGTTTGTTGCTGCGCTCAGTCCCGCCCTTTGACGTCTCTTGCAGGAAGAGGCGTGGCTTACAAAGTGACAGAAGTATTCTTCGATATTCTCTGCGGAAGTTCTGATTGAGCAGTCCGTACACTACGGCATTCAGGCAGGAGTTAAAATATGCCATGAAATAACTCACCACAAACAGCCAATCAGGGACCAAGGGTGCTATGTGGGGCGGGTCCACCGCTACAGCCAGGCCAATCAGATTCAGCGGCGCCCAGCAGACGGCGAAAAGCACAAAGACGACAAACATGGTCAAGAAGTGGCGCAACTCACTCGGACGGAGGCGTGGCCTGACATCGGTTGTGACCCGCCTCCTCACGCGGAGCACCAGCACCCAAATCCTCAGATAGCAGAACGTAACTACCGCGATAGGAAGCAGGAAGTGCACGGTTACCACGGCGATGGTGTAGCCTGCGCTTGTCGTCTGACTAAAGGTGCATGAGTAAACGCGAGGGTCGTACGTCAACGACCCCAGCGCCAGGTTTGGAAGAATGGCGATGGCTGTGAGCACCCAGACTAACGTCAGAAGCGCCAGGGTTCCGGCGCGGCCGTAGATTTTCTCGTAGGTGTTGGCCTGGCAGATGAAACAGTAGCGGTTGATGGCGATGGCGGTGATGTTGAAGATGGAGCCGATGACACTCGCTCCCATCAGGAAGCCGCTGACCTTACACTCCATCTCCCCCGGCAACCAGCCCGCGTGCAGCATGCCGTGCAAGACCAGAGGGTAGGGATAGCAAACCACCAGGAGATCGGCGAAAGCCAGGCTCACTACAAACGCATTACCTAAAGCACACACACACAGACAGAATTCAAATACAAGGCCTTAGTTATGGCATTAAAGTTAATTGTTTTATTACATTCAAATCATGATGACAGCATTATTAAAACTCAAAATTATAAGTTGTAAACCAGATTTTTTGTTTTTGCACCAACTGATCGACCATTACATTATATAAAAAACAGCAAAATAGAAATGATGAGAACAGTAAGATGTAATCAGGGAACTACAGCACTTCAGGGGCGGATCTACCGGGGTGGCACGGGGTGGCAACTGCCACCCAAAGAAAAAGCTGTGCAACCCCACCTGCCACCCCAGAATTATCACAGAATAAAATTGAAATGTAAGCAGTGTTTCATATGCTTCTTTTCAGCAGAGGCGATGACTGCAAAATAATGTCAAGAAAACACGTCTTTCAGTAAACTGTGCATGATAGTTGCACACGCACGCAGCGCACCCAGTGTAGTCGGTTACATTAACAAATTACTCTTATGAACCGGTTCTTTGCGAGTCAGAAACACTAATGAATTGATTTTACATTTGTTCATGAAAATTACTGCTTCTCGTCTAACTAGAAGTCTTCTGAGATCTGTCTTCTGACCTTATCCCGTCCGGATATGTCTGAGATTCATCCCGTAATTGTTTGGTGATCCGATTCTCTGACCGCTTGCTCCACTTTCATCATGGATATAGGCCTTTTTTGCCATCCGACAAAACAATAACATGAAATCAATAAGAAGATGCAGATCACCGAATCTAGTAGCAGCAGAGTTAGGTAAGAATCTAATCGTATTGCAGTTTTTGTACAGTAAACATGTTGTACACCCTCAAAACCTGCTAAAGTGTTGCTAGTTGGTTGCTAGGATATTCTGGGTGGTTGCTAGGCTCTTGCTATGCAGTTGCTGGGGCGGTGCTAGAGTATATGTTTGATAGTGTGATCTGGGTGATTACAGCTATTCCCACCTCAGTTCATTACAGAAAATCAAACATTGGTTTCAAAACTGATCCAGTTTCAGTGCTTTGATATTATTGTATTCCTTTCTAATGTTAGGAAAATCAAAAGCTTTTGTTGCTCTTAAACTTGCACTAAAACGTGATTTATACCACCCAAGTAGCCTACGTAATATTAATAGAACCACTTGTATTCTTTAGTGATGCAAGCTCAGAAATATTTACTGTTGAAGTTTTTTATATCGTGTATTGACTTGGTGCCATGATGGATTTTGAAATATTAGTATTTATTTTTCTGTTTAAACAATATAGATGATTACTTCATGGTAATGCAATAGGCTATTTGTGAACACAATTGTGTATGTCAGGCCATAAATCTCCAATCCATCTTTGTTGTTTTTTTGAACAACAAATAAAAATGTCTCTTTCTTGTTAAGTACATGTGAAAAACTGACTCCGACCAAAATGCAAGAGGTTCTTCAGATTTATAAATTTCTCCATGAAATCATGACTAGAAAATGAAATTAATGTATTTTTTATACACGTTTACAAATGTTCGTAGAGTAGAAAACACAAACACCAGAAAGGAAACTTGATAACAGCACCTGAACTGTAGTCGATCGACAATATTGTGTGTCTGGAAGTGTGGGTGTGTTTGTGTGTGTGTGTGTATATAATGTGTAGGACAGGCTCAGGTGCTGTAGTATTTTGACTGTGAGGTTCACACAGAGTGCAGATCCATTAGATTAAGTGCGGTGTCTGTGACACTGAGTTCTCCTCTACAGTGCTTGTTTGTGCATGTTTGCTTGGTTTACCAGTCAGTCTCTCGTATACATGTGTTGTGTGCTGGTTTGTTGGGAGTTGAGGTTTTCTCCTCAGATCAGCTTGTATTAGCATTTATACCACAGATGGAGTTCACATGGAGTTCAACACAGCACTGTACACACACTTGTGCTCCTAAACCAAATGCGTTACAGAACTCAAATAGGTTTTGTAATGGATACATGCATTTAGTGAATATCGATCAAATGCATCTGGGAAAAAGAGTCTATATAGAAAGTGATCATTTTAGGTTAATATTCTACATCATACCTCATCCACATGACTGATGCTCCATTCACACTGATTTTATTGCTAGAAGTCAGCACGTCGCTAGTAGCCATTCGTCTTGCTCTAATACATTGGTATAGATATTGCAGCAATGCATTATATAATGAACAATATGAATGACTATCAATGCATGATTCAAACATGTTTAAAACGACACTTTCTGACCCTCTTTAAATTCCATTGATGCTCGTTTGCGTAAATGTAAACTGTTGCATCACAGGACACGCCAACAATGCATTGCATGAACACTGTTGCTTATGTCTCCAGAAATTGAATGATTTGGGGTCACCGCAAACCGCTGTCAACTTTCACAGCCGCCCATTTCCTCTTATCTCACTCTCCCTCTTCTTCTTCATTTTGTCTTTCTCATTTGGATCCATCAATGTCTGCTATCTTTCTCTTGCTCGGTGTCAATATCTCTCACCGTATCTGATTTCTAATCCATCTCTTTTCCTCTCACTTATTACAACTCAATTCGCCTTCCCTCACTTTCGTCCTTTCTCATAAGAAGATTAAGAGGCAAGAGGAAGCAAGCAGCTGGGTTTTAAACGTTTTAATTGGAACGTCGAAAGGCTTTCTGAGAGAGAAACTTGGTATAAACTCTTGTTCCGAAACTGGGCCAGAATGTATGCACTTGAACCTGAAAACAGAGTTTAGCGCCACAGAGATGCCTAAGCAAAGAAACAAATAAAAATCGGATTTAGTAGAGCACCACACACACACACACACACACACACACACACATATGCGCTTGCGCTCATTACCTCTGTGATCCTGCCGCATGCTGATGTGAGGAAGAGGGTGTGAGGAATAAGTGTTCAGGAGATAGTGTGCCAGATACACAAATGTTTCCTGCAGAATTCTGGGCTTTGACATTTGGAACAACATTTAGTTTTGTTTGCTAAACAGATGAATTTAGGAACTGCTGCCTTCACACTAAAAAAAAAAAACATTGGCCCCTGCTTTTAAATGATTGTACCACTTACCTATTACATCAGATGTTGTTAACCAAAACTACTGTATTCAGAATGTTTCAGGGAATGCATGAACTGTACTGAATATCTTCAATGCAAAGTCGCTTTGGATAAAAGCGTATGCCGAATGCATAAATGAAACGTACAGTAAAATGCTTTCTGTGATTTGACAAACAAAAAATATCTGGTGTCTGGTTTATTGTGTTTCACTACTTCAGAAACATTCCCAGTAAAGGATGCTAATAGGGATCAGAAGTGAAGACAAGGAGAGAAAATAAAGTTTTAAAGCACCCCATGAAACATAGAGAGAAATGCAAGTGAATTGGTAAGAGAAACGAGAGATTCCAAGTGTATTCCAGTGGAAAAATTCATGGGATTTTGTTTAAATTAAGACCAGATCTGCACTGTCTGTGGTGTGTTTTACATTGCAAAAGCAGAACAAAAGGGAAAAACCCAGAACACAGCTAAAGCTTTTACAGCAGAAGCTCCTATGATATCAGTCACAAGCTTTACAATATTTCATCTCTCATGCATATAAGCACATAAAAGTTTTAATGAAAAAAAAAAGAAATATTCCAAATGTATCATTTACAGTAACTTACAATTAGCAAAGGATTGGAAAAAGTGGAAAAAGTCTTCAGATTAATTTATACATGTGAAGAATAGGTTGAGAATTATAACCTAGCTCATATGAAGACAGGAATCATGTCTTTTTTTTTTTTTTGCTGATTAAGGCGTAATACAAGAATTCTTCACCTTGCCGAAAGCAAAAATCTATGAAAAGCACATAATTTTTGTGAGGAAGTGTGACATGCTCATGCAAAACAGGCTCTATTTTTGGATTCAGCACCCCAAAATTGGTAAGAAACAAGTATTGGATTTCATTCAGCAAGTATGGTGCAGGCCAGTGTTATTTTTCTAAAAAATCTCTGTGTTTCACAGAAGAAAAGAAAGTCATATACAACAGGAACAGAATAAGGGTAAGTAATCGATGAGATTCTTTTCATTTTTGGGTGGAGTATTCCTTTAACTATTCAAGTCACAGACACTTTTACAAGCTTTAAAACTCTAAATGTCAAACAGCGAACCTGAAGAATGGGTTAAATGGAGTAAAGAATGTACTGTATTCAAATATGTTAACATTACAATTGCATTAAATGATCCAAAAGGTCTTGAAGGTACAGTCAACTAAATAAAAGCACGACTGATGCACAAGAGTGAGACAAGCCCATTTTTTAAACCGGTCGCATAAATGTATAATATGAAATCTAGAAACCCAGTATCATGGTCTGACTCACCAATAGCCCAAATGTCAAACTAAACCCATGGGTCTCATTAATGCTTCAACTGTTTCTACTAGGCACCATTGAGATTAAAAATGAGATTTTTCTCATGAGAAAACGACCATCTCATCTCGTTTCAGAAAAGAGCTCGACAATGTCTCAAACTGTGGTCAGATTTGCCAAGTAACTAGCTAATTTTTTTCCCATCATGCAGAAAATTTTAAGAGGAAGGGGATATTTAAACGAGACACACATGAGAACTCCAATAGGTCTTTTGAGCCACCTCTGAGCATTAAAAGTTTCCTCCGGGTGTCTCTCTTATACACATAAGCACATACAAAGGCTTTAATTAAAAACAGCATAACAGAGAATGCTCACACACACACACACAACCATTAGTGACGGCAACGGTGGGTAGTGCTTAGTCAACATGAATGTTAATTAAATCTCTAATGACCCCAAACTAACGAGGACTTCACTAACACAATCACTATTTCATAGGGTAAAAACACACATGAAGGGTTCTACCATTGTAGCATCTCTCTTTTGCCTTCCTAACTGAGTGTGTGTGTGTGTGTGTGTGTGTGCATAAGATAAATGAACGCGGGTCTAAAGTGCTTCCCGTCGTAGCAGCTCTGCAGGCAATGTCCTCAGGGACTTTGCAATCTCACTTGGCACCAATAACCC